CCCATTTGTTTATTTTTTCTTTTGCTTCTCTTGCCATAGGAGATATATTGGCAAAAATTCTGCTACGTGAGATGTCTGAGATTTTACTGCTTATGTTTTCTTATAGGATTTTTATGGTTTCACGACTTATATTTTAGTCTTTTATCCATTTTGAGTTTATTCTTGTGTATAGTGTAAGTTGGTGATCTAGTTTCATTTTTTTTTGGCATGTACCTGTCCAATTTCCCCCACATCATTTATTGAAGAGACTGTCTTTACTCCACTGTATGCGCTTGCCTCCTTAAGATGACTCTGTGCCTTGCAAAGAAGCCATCACTAACAGAGACGAATTCTAGCAGCTCACTTGCCCAGGCTGCTATGATGCTCATACATCTATAATATTAGTAGTAACCATGAAGAAAGTGAAACTGGAGCAATAATGCTCATTATTTTGTATTTCAATGATTAAACTTTCTTTAAAAGTATATGGGGGAGCGTATAATATAGGGTTACCACGATTTTTATTTTGTGGAGCCAGGGACATCCAAAAATGCTCTTTCTATGGAAAGTATCACTCTGCATGGTATCCTTATTATTATAAGAAAAGAAAAACATTTTTACTCCAAAAAAGGAAGAATATGATGTTCATATAACCTCAGATTTGGCCTAAGTAGAAAGTCCTTCTGTTGGGAGTTACTGTTCCCACCGTGGCTCAGGTGCAGCCTTTGCTCGGTCACGCGTCGTCTACAGCGCGGCCCAGGGAGCTTCCACCCTGAGCTGCTGAGTGAAGGGATGCCCCTGCGTGGAGAGAAGCGTGAAGCCGAAATGCTCTCCAAGTCACCTGAGCAGGACGTTAGGGTCCATAAGGCCGGGGTTTCCTCTGTGCTTCCTGGGGACCCATGGCACCAAGCAATCTTCTGTTTCCATCACAATCTTCTAGAATTTTCCCCAAACCATCAGGCAACCCTAAACCTACAAACCCAACTGGGAAGCAATGGGAGTCATGCATAAAAGTGTGGTCTGTGTTACCAGGCTACCGGAACCCCACTTGTCCCTTCTCCTCTTGTCTTCTACAAGGATGGCTTTCTGTTACCAGGAGACACTGGGGTAACAGGCGTCATGCAGACCTCCTCTCTATTCATCCGCAGCCTGCACAGACTCTCTGGGAATCTTATCTGCTTAATGAAGGGTTGACGGAAGGGAGAAAGGAACTGACAAATAGAGTACCTGCTGCACTGTGCTGGGTGACTGACAAGTGGTAATCCCATTTAACCCTCATTGCAACTTCATTGAGAAAACAAGAGTTTAAGCCTGACATTCTAGCAAGTGTGGGAACTGGGATCAAATCTGTAGAATTCCAGAGCTGACATTTAACCAGGAGCCTAAAGATGCTGGCTCTAGTTCTGTTTCTATAAAAACTGAGCAACATATAACCTCACTGTTCTCATCTGTAAGACAAAATTGAATTCGTTGGAAGTTAGTCCTTTCAGGACTAAAATTTCCTATCTCCAAGATGTATACCATACAAAGAAGAAATCATGTCACCCAGAAAACTTTTGTTTACTGAGATTTTCTTCCACTTGTTTACCCTATAGCTCTTGCTCTATAGAAATATGCAGCAAGTGGCACACTGGTGTGGCTCAGTGGGTTGAGTGTCATCACATGGACCAAGAGGTCCCGGGTCCAATTTCTGGTCAGGGCACGATCCCCTGTAGGGGGTGTGCAGGAGGCAGTCAAAACATCTCATTGATATTTCTATCTCTCCCTCTCCCTTCCTCTCTATCAAAAAATCAATATTATTATTTTAAAAAGAAATATGGATCTAGTTTCCGAAATTGTTTCAAGTGTCTGCAACAGAGTTGCACAACATTGCTTTTTAAAGGACTGCCATCCTTGCATTTTTTATCATCATGAACAAATATTTGCTGGATTGCTCACCATGAGCATTATGCTATGCTAGATCAAATTTATTCTTATTCTTTGCAGTGTTGAAGGAAGAGCTAGAAGCATTGATTGTGTGTTTTTTTCATTTCCATTTTCCAGACCTTTCAAACTCTAAATTGAAATACTGAGGTCCAGAAAATGAAACCTGCAAACATAGCTTTACGTAATGTGTTAACTGTGGGGAACAGTGGGGTGTCTGGTGAGCCCACTCGCTTCAGATTATATTTAGAGAGGAAAACTCAACACCGCCTTACTGAAGTTTCACTTTATCCTAATTAATGCCCAATTTGCCACAGAGTATTAGGAAATATAATGAAGCGTCCCCCATGGAAATGTATTCGGGATGACTCATTATCCCAGCACTCATTAACTCACACGGTTAATTTAATCACTCTTTCGCCCCATTGCTTGCACTTGCGAAGCTTTCAGCTCAATCCCAGTCAACATTCGGAGTTGAACTGAGAGAACTTTCCAGCTATACGGCACTCTTACGAAAGGATTCAAAGAGCAGAATACTAGAAGTTAACCAACAATGGGTCATCCCAGACTTCAGGCTTCTCCACCATTCCTGCTCCACAACCCTCTAGCCTCGGGAGAATGAACAGATTATCAGGATGGAAGGTTTAAGCTTCTAACTTTGCATACAGAGTCTTTTCTAGAGACACAGAGCAGGCACTTTCTTCCCTTCTGTGCCGTTCCTTGTTTTCAAAGTCTAAGGCCTCTTCTGGGTTTGGGAAGAAAGACAAAGAGCTCTTAGAAGCCATCCCAGGCTTCCAACCCGCCTCCTGTCCCCGCCACCTTACAGAAGCCCGGCCCAGGGAGCTGGGTCAGCAGAGAGCCTCTCCCTTCAGGCCGGCCACCTGCCGTGCTCAGGGGGGTGGGAGCCAGGTGAGCTTCTGGAGCAGCGGGCCCGGGCCCCAGTCTTCGTGTGGTTCTTTGGGTACTTCCCACACTTCTATGGCTGGTGGCCAGAAAAACCCAACCCAAGCCAGTGTCTCCTCAGTGCCAATCAGGCTGATGGCCCATCTGGAGAATAGACTGATGACACCCGCAGCTCTAGAATATGGCAGGTGGGTGTGGGAGCAAGACCACTGTAAGGGAGAGCTGTACTTAGTCGCAGCACAATTATGAAACTCTGGGGTGGGCCTGGCACTAGAGACTTAGAGGAGAAGAAATCAGCTTTTGTTTTTAGTAGAAAACTTGGTGCAAGCACTAAAGCGTCCTGCTATTGGTAAACACACAGCTGAGTGTTTAAGGGTATACCTGGGCACTTCACGCAAGCAGTCTGTGGGCACCTGCCAGGCTGACTGGTAACCGAGCACTTCTGGGCCTAACACTGTGAGGACGTAACTACACCAACCCCCACCTTAAAGCCAACATTCAACTGTGTGTATCTGAGATTCTCACACATCTCTCCTGTCATGAATTTAGCTCTGAAAATTCGTTATTTCCCTTCCCTCGCTTGGATAAATGGGAAGCGTTTTCTTCAAGATTTATTCTGATAAATTATCCTTGATAAACTCAGCTTAAACCCTGTTTCTACAAGGGTAATGTTTCACCTCTTTCCTCCCTCCTCTCCACTAAAAGAGTGCCCAGGCATTTTTCACGATTTTCACCTGTGAAAACACAAAGATGTTTGGTCTGGAGTAAAATCAGACGATTCAGCAGTTGAGCAAAGTACGACTGTGCCTTTTGTTTCCACGTTTCCTTCACGGGGCCTGTTGCTTCATTATCAGGTCAGAACTCTGGGAAGGCGGTGATGCCAAGCGGTCACTGCCCATTGCCTTCTGTCTGGAGCCGGCCACAGGCATTCATGCGGCGGGGCAGGCACTGCACGGAGCCCAGCGAGCCAAGCGGGCCGCCCTGCCAACCCACGCTGCCATGCAAAGCCCCCTCCTACACATGCCAAGGAACAGATGACAAGGACACCTGTGCAGGAAAGGAGACTTGCTCGTTATTTAACGTAGGGCCATACAGCACAGCTACTCTTTCGAGTTGTGTCAGATTAATCTTTTGAGATATTCTTAATTTTATCTTGTCCTTGTAATTGTCAGCATCAAACAAACAAACAAAAAGTATGGAACATCTACGCTTCTCCCCAAGACCCTGGGAAAACTGCCAAGTCCTTGTGCTCCAAGGTGTTCCCAGGGAAAGGGCTGTTCACGGGGTCTCCCTGCCACAGAGGCCACCCCGAGGTCCCTCTGCGCAGGCTCGGCTTAGAAAGTAAAGGCTTTTGGAAAATGAACCTGGAGCGGCCCTCCAGAATCAGAGGCTCAGAGGCCTTACCTAGTTTTATTTAGTGCTCCCGGAGATTTCTTTCTGACCCAATGTGATGCAAATACAAGTTTCAATAATTGCTGAAGACAAGCGAGTTTAATTAGAATTGTAAAAGTTAAGAAAAGCCATACTTCCTGTACTGGAGTGGCACGGAAAAATCTGCACACGTTACATCTTTAACAGAATAGATAAATGTAGAAACAATTTAGAAGGCTGGTTAACAAATTACAATGTGGGCAGACATACTATGGGATACTATGCAGTCACAATCAAGGTGTTTGTTAAGGATTTAAAAAAAAAATAACAAGAAATGGAAACAATACCAAATATTAGCATTGGTTTTCTTTATATGGCAGTGTTCTGAGTAATATACATTTTTCCTTATTTCTCCAAAATGAGAATGGATTGCTTTGGTAATTCAGAGAATTGCTGAGGAGGCAGGATAAGTTAACAGCGTGGATTAGGGGAGCACTGAGAAACCAGAGCGATTCCTGTCTGTGGTGACCTGAAGGGACTCCTGCTGTCCCTGTCTTCTGTGCATGCTCAGGACTAGGGCCCAGGTGAAAGGAAGCCTCCTTATACTAGTAGATGGCCCCTGACATGAGGACACAAACGTATGGGGAAACCCCGGGCACAGAGACACAGTTTCACTTCCACGCCCTACACAATGTGGCAGGAATCTAGAATGGTATGGACTTCCAACTTCAAAAAAGGTACAGTTAGGAGAGAAGACCCAAAAGCTGTCAAATAAATTCTGGACATGCAGATAACATCAACCTTTTAAAAGGACAAACTCTCACCTCTGTAGTTCTGACACCACGGAGGTAAGGTAAGGCGCTTAAAATTTGACTCCAGGAAAACGTTTCAACAATTTTCTATAATTCCTTGAATATTTTCAAATTTTCAACCCCTTCACAGTGTGTAGATGGTATGATTCTCCTTTGTTTTTCTTTACGAGGCTTGGCTGTGCCTGGAGGGGCAACAAAAGCCAGTTGCCCTGCAGATGGGGCCTGGGCTCCTCACCACACCAGGTCCGTGGGGGTCGGGGTGGGGGGCAGGGGTTGTAGCCTTTTCCATTTCTGGGATTAGATGTCAACTGCTACCTGCCCACCTGGTGTCCTACCTGTAACATGACACAGACTTGCTTCTGAAATAGCACCAGGAATTGGGCTGCTCTCTGACTTTCCCCTAAAGCCATCATAAGATAAGGCTATTTAAAGAAGATAAAGAAGGCCTAGCTCACCATCATCTCCATTTAGCATCCTTCCATCAAGTTAGAAAGTTACACCCTGAGCAATTCCAAATATGAATCTCATTCCCACCCCCCCACCACCCCCGCCCCAGCCCTTTTAGGCACGCCTTCCTGCAATTATTATTTAGTGTTGTGTTTTCCTCTTGAACACAACAAAATAAAAGACCTGATGAAGAATACTGCTATTTTCTTGCTGACCTATTATGTCCATACATCAATGTACCTTTCACGAAGGCATGAGCAAACCACGTGTCTTTCAGAATTTGAAACAGGAAAATAAGTTTGCCTCATGAAGGAGTAATAAGTGTTACTTTGACCTACAATGAGAAGGGCAGAAAATATCAGGTACATTGGAAAGGTGGAAGCTAAATTTAATGCTCAAGCCAATCACAAATTTGTCTCCTCGGCCTCTTGAGTTTTAGTTTATCCTCCTTCAGGTAGAGTCTCCCTATGGCCAGCTGCCCTGACTCAACCAGTCCCTCTGTTTATTTTTGAAACAAGAAGGTGTGCATGATAAACAAAGGAGCGGTTCCGCAGGCTTTGGCTCCCACAGTGCTCACTGGGAGAGGCTGAGCAAAGCAGCAGATGCCTCTGCCATCCAGAGAGCCAGGAATGCACTTAAAAGGCTTCAGGATAAAAGCTGGCCATGTGAGGATTGCTGTTATTACAGCGATGAAAGGAAAGTGACCTGCTTGCAGGCTTTGAAATTTCAAGTCAAATACAACCAACAGAACACACAGTGCAAAATATGCACCTTAGAAGGCCTCTGACAAAAGCCATTATTAAGCTCATCCCTGCAGCCCGGGCTTTAGTTCTTTATGGAGAGGATGTGGGGCCCCGGGCCCAGGGGTGGTGCCCCTAGAGCTTAACTGCCTTGTTGTGAAACCAAAGAGGTTTTCCCTAATGGCAAAAGCGACCTCCCTCAGCCTGTCACGGGAGAGCTGCAAATGTCCTCACTACCCTCACAATGAAGAAGGCCACATGGAGCTGGTCAGAGGGGACACTTGGTGCCCAAGGCGACCAAGCCGAGGCCACCAAGTGCCTGAGGCCAGACCCTCTCCAGACGTCTTGGGAGTAGAGTTTGCTGTCACTTTCCAACTCACATTTCCAAACACCGCCCCCACCACCAGCTGCCTTCCCCATTTTACCGGACTGATTTTACAATGAAAAATCACCTTGTGAAAATTCTGACTAGCTTGGTCTTTTTCCCTCTGGTCCTGCTAGAAGAAAGAATACCAGGGTTTGGAGAGATGGAAAGAAGACAGGATTTAGAATAAGAAGATTTGACTCTTGCTCACAGTATTCTCACAAATGCATACTCCAATCCTGACATGCACTGGCCTTATTTTGAACTCTAGTTCTCACTTTTATAGAAGAATCATAATATTTACTTGAACAGTTGTGAGCAGTAACTGCAAATGCGCACAGGAATTTGTCAGCTATGAACTGACACTTAGCTCCCTGATGTAACAGCGCTCTCTGCAGGTGGTGCTGGGTGCTCTGCTCCCCACGTAATTCAAGGTGGTGGGTCCCATGGCCTGTGGGGTCCTATGCGAGAGGGGAGGATACCAACCAATCTCTCACTGAGTTCACCTTGCCTTTTTCTTGATCTTGTGAAGTCAGTAAATGGTTACTTCCATCTTCAAAATAGAAAATTTGACACGTGCAGACGCTCTAAGAGTTGCTTCCGTTTCCCCCTTAACTTTCATCCCACTCCTTCTCCAAGTATAAATCATGTTCAAGTACTAGGAACGACTTTACCATTTTTGTCTGCTTATCTTATGGAATCACAAGAGTGATCTGATAAATGTATATGTGAAAGTAAGTTAAAATACTCTCAATAAATACAAAATGAAAATGCTAGGTGTTAGCAAAGTAATAATACCTGGTGCTAATTGTAACTTGTATGTAAATGCTTAAAAAAAACACCTTGAAAAAATTCTCTAATACCTCATTACTTACTGCCAAATTTGCTGTCAAATTTATCATCAAAAAATAACAAGAGTCAGCATTTAGAATTTATTTGTTTTAAGCATAAGAAAACAATAATGAAGGGGACCCCAAACTGTATTTGTCACAATGAATGGAAAATCCCACATCATGATGTCAAATCTCTGTTCTGATAGCAGAAAGGAAGAATAAATAGCAGTGTGCTAGTTGTAGGAAATGGCTTCATTTCCTCCTCTGCATTGCTACCTAGTGCACAAGGTGTTTGCGAGGCCATCATAAAGATGCTTCTAGTTTGCGTGAGTTATGGAAATGTGGGAACAATTAAGAATCACGGAAAAAATAAAAGGTAACTGAACCATCAGAACTAAGATGGTGTGGGGTATGACGATGATGCTCTGTATTTCTTCTAGCCCAACTTTTACTTCTACTATGTCTCTTTGTTTGAGCGGGGGCTTTCTAATTTGAGCTTATTAACCCTATAAAAATTAAAGAGTCTGAGTATTAGGAAAAGGGAAGGAAAAAGTGTCAGTGTGCTCACTGAAGACTGACCACAAGTTGGACTGCTGGGACCTTCCTGAGCACCATGTGTTCAGGCCTCACAGTCCAGACCAAGCGGTTCTGCCCTGTGTATGCTCAGGAGACAATCAAGTAATAGCCCATGCTTGGGGGACAAAAAGGATGTGGGTGGCTATGTGCTAAGCCAGGTATCCAGGTACTGGAAACTCTCCCCGCTGCATTCCAGTTTTAACACTCTAAACTCACCTATGATGAAGCAGAGAACATTGAGGACATTGAGGAAATAAACGATATGTTGAAAAAATACGAGGCCAGAATGCCTAGAGTCAAATCCCAATTCTGTTACCTACCAGAGCTTTGTGGCCTTGGGCAAGGTACTTATCTGTGCCTCAGTTTCCTCCCTTGTAAAATGGGGACCATCGTATGCCTACCCCATGGAGTTGCTGTGAGAAGTTAATGCTTGTAAAGTACCTGGTACAGTGCCTGGCACGTAGTAAGTTCTATATAAATGTATCTCTTCTTGTCATTTTTATTATTAAAATGTATGTCAGTAACATGAACTGGACCCCAAATTGAATGTACCGGAGCTGAGCAAAGGAAGAGTCCTAGAGCTCTGAGACCTAGAATGATGCAGGTTTCTGCTTTACTCCCACGGCTGCGCTGCCTGGAGTAGCTGCTGAGGATGGGGTTTCCTGTTGGAGAGCCCGCTTTTCAGGTGATTGTGCCCCGATCTCTGACCTGCTGTTGCATTACTGCTGATTCACCGCTCAACTCGTGGAAAATAAACAAAATATTTCAAAGCAAGCATGCAATTAGTGTTCATTTCAATAATAACTCTCACAATTTTAAGATGCACATTTCAGAATGCTGCAAGCATTTGGCTTTGAGAGGTTTAAATGAGGACGCGGGGCAGACCAGGCAAAGTACAGGCTCTCCGTTTAGTGGCCGACATGGATTAGAATGCCACACGCAGTTGAGTGAAAAGGCAGGAGGTGAGATGCGACTCAATGCAGAGAAAAGAAAAGTACTAACTCGCTGAGATGATTCAATTTTCATCAAGTACCTTTGAATGTCAAGTTCTGCCTGGAGAGAGATCAGCATGCACTGCAAAGCCTGTGTATCAGAAGAAAAAGAAAAAAATAGAAAAGAGAAAGGGTGAAAACATGAAGAGAAAAAGAACAGGTTGACCAAAGGGACCATCTATTTGTTCCTGATGAAAATGTAGCACAGTTAACTCTTTCTCTCCCCTACAGAAAGAAAGAATGGTGACAGTTCCACCTTTAAGTTGTAAAGAGAAACAGTAAAAGGCTTGACTGGCAATGAGTTTTCCCTAAAATATCTGCCACAAGCCCATCTAAATTCACCTTGTCATTTCAGAACATGTCACATGATTGGCCTATTGTCCTGAGGTTGTCCCAAGGCTGCAGGGGAATTACCAAAGCCAGAGTGAAATACCAGGCCTAATGCGGGCCGGTGGTGAGCCCCAGCCAGCCAGCCTGATTGGCACAGGCCACTGGGCCACTGGCTACTGGGCTGGTTCTCCAAAGACGGGCCTGTGGGTGCAGCGCTCTGTGCTGTGGTTGGCCACGCAGGATGACAACTTGCTCACCATCAGACCCACTGTGAATACTTACAGGAACAGAGATCAGCATTAGGACTCAGGGAACGTATTCTGACACCTGAACCTGGCTGGCCCTGGAGTGTGCTGTCAGTTTACCATGATTATCATGACAGTATTTAAACATTATTCACAACAGTCAAAAGGTAGAAGCAACTCAGCAGATGAGAAGATAAAAAAGTGTGGTATCCTATCTAATAATAGAGAAACATAGTAATTAACTGTACCTCCGACACGCTTCCCATTGGCTAATCAGGACAATATGCAAATTAACTGCCAACCAAGATGGCGGCCGGCAGCCAGGCAGCTGAAGCAAACAGGAGGCTTGCTTGCTCCAGTGATGGAGGAAGCCAAGGTTCCCCACCTGCCACTGCCGGCCTCTGAGCTGCACTCTAAGAAACAATGTTGCAATTATAGAAGCTAAACAAACCCCAGAAACCTGCTTTCAGCCAGCCGGGCCTCAGAGCTGGAGTTGCAACAGTGTTTCAATTATAGAAGCCAAACAAACCCAGATACCTGCTTTCAGCAGCCGAGGCCTCAGCTGGAGCCGAGCCTCAGAGCTAAAGCCGGCTCTCAGCTCCAGTGACAGCCATAGAAGGTAAATAAATCCCAGAATAAAAAAAAAAAAAAGAAAAAAAGGAGAGGTTGGGAGCTTCAGTCACCCACCAGCCTGAAAACGGCCCTCAGCCCCTCACCCAGACTGGCCAGGCACCCCAGTGGGGACCCCCACCTTGAAGGGGGTGCGACCAGCTGCAAACAGCCATCAGCCCCTCACTGAGGCTGGCCAGGCATCCAAGCGGGACCTCCACCCTGATCCGGGACACCCTTCAGGGCAAACCAGCCGGCCCCCACCCATGCACCAGGCCTCTATCCTATATAATAAAAGGGTAATATGCAAACTGACCCTAACAGCAGAAAG